GCGAGTATAGCTGGGAAGTCTATAAAAGCGCAGACTCACCGGGCAGTTATGTTGAAGGTTGAGTTAGTAGCGTGTTAGGCTGGTAGCTGACGATGGTAGTCGTTCGAGGTAGAGAGAAGACTTAGATGATATTCATGGTAGCGACTGTATATATATGACAGGAGCGTGTGAAGTCACTACCGTATTCGTAACTACTATGCAGTCCAAGTCCCACGGTAATGCGGGACGGCTACGTAAGCAATGAACGTGGCCCTATGCGATGAACGCGGAGCCACACGAATGCGTAAGCGCTAAAAGTACCAATGGGATACCTAGCGCCAGAATAGACGTATGAAGGCGGTATTTACTTGTAGACCTCGTAGAGGAATATCGCCGTACAAGAGGCTTCTGGGTGAACCAATAAAGCCGTAAAGGGTCGAATACTAGACGTAAAATCTGACAGGTAAACCCAGAGCGCCGACAGGAATATCAAGAACTGATCGGGTCCCTCATCTATTTGATGATTGGGACGAGGCCTGATATAGCCTTCGCAGTCACACATTTGTCACGGCATGCCGCCAACCCTTCGGAGGACCACCTGAACAGAGCAAAGTACATACTGCGCTACCTAGTAGGGACACAAGATTACTACATCGAGTACAACGGGACTCTGCGGAAAGGCTTCGTTGCTTTTGCCGACACCGATTGGGCTGGTGATTCCACCGCCAAGTCGACGACCGGCCATGTCTTCATGATGGCAAACGGACCAATATCTTGGTCCTCATATCTTCAGAAATCCGTGGCTCTATCTACGGTTGAAGCTGAGTACATGTCCATCTCGGACTGTTCTCGCCAGGCCAAATGGTTCGCTCAAATGATGGGCGAGCTTGAGTGTCTGCAGGTCGGTGCTATTCCGATCGTGGGCGATAACCAGGGAGCCCTGCATAACATTGTGAACCCTGTCACTGAGAAGCGGAGTAAACACATCAACATCCGTTATCACTACGTCCGGGAACTATACGAGGATGGTGTCATAGACCTCTTTTGGATCCCGGGCACCGAAAACCCAGTGGACTTGTTCACCAAAAACTTGCCGTTGGTAAAATTTGTCAAGTACTGTCGTGAGATATCCCTTTTCTTCAAAATGCCATTGCTCAAGCAGTAAAGCGAATACGATTCGAGGGGGGGTGTCAGATTTACGTCTAGTATTCGACCCTTTACGGCTTTATTGGTTCACCCAGAAGCCTCTTGTACGGCGATATTCCTCTACGAGGTCTACAAGTAAATACCGCCTTCATACGTCTATTCTGGCGCTAGGTATCCCATTGGTACTTTTAGCGCTTACGCATTCGTGTGGCTCCGCGTTCATCGCATAGGGCCACGTTCATTGCTTACGTAGCCGTCCCGCATTACCGTGGGACTTGGACTGCATAGTAGTTACGAATACGGTAGTGACTTCACACGCTCCTGTCATATATATACAGTCGCTACCATGAATATCATCTAAGTCTTCTCTCTACCTCGAACGACTACCATCGTCAGCTACCAGCCTAACACGCTACTAACTCAACCTTCAACATAACTGCCCGGTGAGTCTGCGCTTTTATAGACTTCCCAGCTATA